CGCTATAAAACTTATTTATGGTTTATAAAGGTAAAGACAACCTCTTAGTTACCAATAAATGGAGAGTAAAAGTCACGTTAAAGGTTTTATAAGGTACTAAAATTCGGTCACCGTTACCTTTATAAGATTCTCCATTTAAGTGCTATAGGGGTGTTATAAGGGTAACGAAAACGTTTCGGGAACAATTGATAGGCTCTTAGGTTTTATTAAGTAGGTTATCGAAACGTAACCATTACCATTATAAAACAAAAAATGTTAGTTGGGATACCTGTATCCTGTGTGCTAACTTTGATGTAAACTGTTGCTGCTAGACATAAACTGCTAGACTCCATAAAGAGTAGTATAATCTGGTATAATGCCATACGATCGAAAAAAATGGCGGCAGAGGTGGCTTGGAAATGAAGATTGCTGTTGTCATCGATCGAAATTTTCAAGCTAATTGCCGTTTTTTTTTCGATGGTACAGTATAAATTGAAAGCTCTTAACTCATACAAATAAACTTCTAAATATTGACGCAAAATTCATCGACATAATATATAGGTGAGTATATTTTAGAGCTGTTAATAAAAATATCCAATGAATAACGTCAAAATGTGGCCAAATAAAACTAAATCGCGAACGTTTTTACTATAAACTAAGAATGAAGTAAGTATTGTCAAATAAAAGTCCTCATATAATGTCCTAAAAATATTCTATAATGCTCCCAACATCATCCTTGTATTATCCTATAAATATCCCAAATAATCGTAAAAGGCTTGCCTAGGGATGTCTTGAAGATGACTTTTTTTGCCCCATCTGGATATCCCATAAATATCCTCCTCTGGTTTTTGGATATCCCTAAGATATTTACTATATCCTTGGTGGATATCCTCAATATATCTATAGGATTGTGTTGTGTTATATAGGTAAGTTTGTTCTTTAAATTAAAAGACAAAATTTAGGACTAACTAGGTAGAGCTAGTAGCTTAAATTAATTTCTATTGAGAATAATTAGTAAAACAACACAATATTTACATTAAAAACATTTATTTAATAATGTGATCAGACTTAAATATACATTAAAATATAATGTTGGTTTCGAAATCTTAAAAAAATATTTAAAACTGCACGTGAAAAATAGAAGTTTTAGTTTTATCCGGATTAATGTCTATAGTGAATAAAATTTTACATATTTAGTATTAGATCTAAAGTTTTGTTTACCTTTTGCCAACTTGAATTCAAATCAAATGAATCAAAAATGTGAAATATTAGTATCATCAGCATACATAACTATGTTAGAGTCGTAAATCAGCTGCATATTATATTAAAAATAACAGAGGCCTCAAGATGGAACTCTGAGGACCTCAACCCGATACAAATTTTTCCATCGTAGAGTACGTCTGATCCACCAACCCCTCCCTTGCTTCTAAAAACTAAATTATTATCAAAGAAATAATTTAGTTTTAATAAATATGCGCTTTCATAACTAAATCTACCTGGCAAATTTACTGTTGGAAGTGTTATAATCTTCAGTTGTAAAATGACGATAAGCTTTAAAAATTTTCTCTTTTTAAAAATTTGTTTCAGCTGCGTATCACCAAAATAACAAATTCGGGCAAACTATTTCTTGGATTCGGAAAGCAATGATCTTTCGGTCCATTCTTTAAGCACTTCGAAATACCACAAAGTGACGGCATGGTGATGGCAAATTTTATTTCACGCAGAACAAAAATAGAAAGAAAAACACAACGGTGGCAAATCGTACATCCTTAATAAACCGCACTAAAAATTATGAAACAAACTCGATAGTTTTCGATAAACGCACTTCTTATTTAGAAACAGACACACACATCAAAAACTAAATTTTAGCTGGAGTTGAGCACAGGGGGGCCTACGGCTTTTGTTTCAGTTTTAGCCACCCTATCTCGGTTAATTTTGATTTGAAAAAAAAGTATAGAGACCATTTTTATCTAAAACTGAACGCTCTACAACTTTTATATGAACTTTTTTGTTCTAGTCCTTACCGTTCCTCTGAAATTTTGAAAAATAATTCTATTTATTTATTTCACCCCTTCTTGGGTGTGAATTTAAAAAAAAAAACACAATTCGTTTTTAGATTTTTCAAAGTAACTTATAAAAATTCCAGTTTTTGCCAAAACTTCGTATTTGAAGGCCTGTTTTCGTGGACTATAATGCACATCACTAGTGAAAACTCTAGTATCTCAGTATAACAAAAATCTAAAAAAAAATAAAATATTTAATTTTACTGGGAGTATCCGAAAATTAAAATAATCTTTATTGGTATTTTCCAACGTTAAAATTACAATATAAAAGAATAATGTTTACTATATCTATATAGTTGCGTGGGTTATAATTTTTGTCTTAAATAAAAGACATTAAGACAAACTCAATAATGGCGATATTAAATTACCTACTCGAGCGACCATTATGAATAAATTCGTTTTAAATCAACTTAAGATTTTGTTATAACTTCTTTATTAAATCGCTTTGTTGAAATGTTCTAATGCTTTTCTGTTTTATTATATGTAAAATAGGTAGTTATTATATTCCAATAATGGCAACGAGATACATTAACTTCTGAATTACTTAATCATCTTTTGCGCTTAATTTTTGCTCTGACAGGTTTGTGTAGATTATGATACTTTAATTGAATTATTTAAATTCTGCTTTTTTATTCGGTATTTTACATGTCTAGAAAATGATTAGTAATAATTGGTTTAATAAGTAGTTGGTAGGAATAATTGAAAATAAACTGTTTGTTAAACGTTAATTTGAATATTTTAATAGCTTCTAATACTTCGGCAGTTTTTTAGATTAATTTATTTTAATTTATTCTCTTCGCTTTCATGTTCTTACTTATTGTAGGTACTTATTGTAAAATGAAAGAAACTCAATGATACCCAAATTTAGAATGGCACTTTATCTAAAGAAGAAAACATACGACCAATATGTACTACTAGTGTACATGACCTATGCATGCGCAACCTGGACATTTAAAACGGATATTATAAGGAAATAGCAGGTCGCACAATGCTCAATGGAACGAACTATGCTGGGAATAACCAAGAGAGAATTGTGGAAGACACAAATTCGTTAATACTCATATCCAAAATAAGTTATAAAAAGTTATTATTTACATCAACAAAAATCACCTCCTTAAAGAGGCACTTAAGGCATATTAAGGTCTGTTACCCCTTTACCCCTACAGGTTTTGTACCCCTCTCAGAGAGAGTAATGATGATACAGTTAGAAACATCAAAAATACGAACAAATATCATTCAAGTGTACGCCCCAACGGCACAAAGTGAAGACAGAAAAATAAAATCACAATCTCCTGACCTCAACCCCATCGAGCACATATGGGACGCGGTCCAAAGAAGAATTTTGAGGATGGGTATGCCTCGTGAAACTCGTAAGGATCTGATTCGGGCCGTGAATGCAGCGTGGCAGGCTGTACCTCAAGAAGAGATCGACAACCTAATCAGGAGCATGGAGAGACGATGTAAGGCTGCAATGAACAGTAGAGGAGGCCATACCCTTTATTAAGTAAAAATGGTTTTATCTTTTTTTTTAATTCACAGTTTAGAATAAAAAAAAAATGTGTGTATTTTTTTCAGTTCAATAAAAATCAAGGTAAACTTGAAAAATTCGGTAAATTTCGCATTTTTATTTCCAATACGTCCTGTAAACTATTTGTTTATTTTAATTTTATTATAGCAGAAATGCAAATAATAAAATTACTGACGATGGCTGGATAAAATTGTAATATCCCTAGACTTTTCCGGTGTGTATTTTCATTAATTTTAAACATAAAATGGGGATAAACTTAATTTAATTAATCTAATCCTAATATAACATACCAAAAACAAATTAAAACTTATTTTTTTAAGATTAACGTTATTAACAATTTTTATATTATTAAACTCAGTCTTTTTTTGTATTATTTAACTCAGTTTGGCGCATCATTCAACTTTCATTATCAATTGGTTTAAAAAAATGACTTTATATTATCAATTGGTTTAAAAAAATGATTTTATGCCATTTAAAGCAATAATTTATCAACTCTTAACCAGTTCATACTTGATAACGGTCAGTAATCCTTCTGGCCGAAACGTTGTGTAAGCAACATAAATAAAGATAATGGAAGTCCGAAATTCTTATAATTTCAATTTAATAATTTGTTCCCAGCGGCCATCCAGATTCATTCTATGAATTTCTATCTTATTATTGGCAATAAACCATACTTTAATATTTTAGCTTCCGACAAAACTACCTCATTAAAAGATATAAAATTCAGCATCATTAATAATCGCTTTCCTTGCGATTTGCCCTTTGCCGTGAGATGTGGCAAACTAATTCCAAAACCCAGATAATAATTGAAAATAATTGTCCATAAAACAAAGATTAGACAATGTATATTTGTTTTGACCTGCGCATCGCATCCGTCAGAAACTTACAAATCAACTTACAAATTCGTCTGAAACCAGTAGTTGAATTTTGTTCTTAATAGCTGCCCTGTGCCTTGTATATTCTTTTTCTTTTAGCTTAATTTACTTAGCGAAAATTATCAATTAAACGAGGCAATAGGATATAAGGATCACGAGGCATTTAAGGATAGGGTTTAATGGGTTGGTGCTACATTTAAACTAAAACTGTATGTTTTTCCTTTAACTTGGGTATGTTTTTAAAATTTTTAACAAAAAATAACCAAATATCTTATAGTTTATTTTTCATAAATATATTCATCTTTGTTTGAAATGGTCGTAATCCCCTAAATTAAAGTGTCAAAACGAATAGAAATGTCAGGAAATAAGTATATAAATGTGACAGATTGACATTTTGATAGCAGAACTACCACCTAAATCGCCAGCGGAAAATTTAAATTCCAATTAGCCAGCCAGGCGCCGAATATGTCCATGGTTGGCAATAATGAAAATAAAAATCGCCTCGATGTTGTAACTATAAAAATTTATTATGGTATCGATTATATATTTCCTTACCTTGTAATGTTCTAGCGTTTCTAACGCCCTCGTTCTTCCGTCCTCGTTATGCGCACACAAGGCTGCCAGCAGCTCGAACATCTGTTTGCGCACGCGCACCGCAGCCGGTCCAGCGGCGTCCAGCGCAGCCGCCAATTTGCGCACATACTCGGGATGTTCGACGATAAAATCGAGGCCGTCTCTCGCCTGCTGCGTCTCCCCCTCCATTTCTGTCTGCGCGCAGCTCTAAGCGCTGCGGGCCGAACCTGGAAAATACAAGAATGCTGCTAACCATTTTGTTGACAAATTTCGGGCATTTATCGTATCGGGACGTGCTGAATTCGTTTTCCAGTTTATAAAAAACTGGAAAAAATGTTTCCACTCAAAAAAAGACATAAAAATAAAATACTACAATATTGTACCTAGATATTTATAAACATATGGCACACAATTTGTTATATTAGCTAAGTTATTACTTCTCCCCAAACTCAGTTTACAATAGTGCCTAGGAACAACAAATCGTGTCAAAAAATATAGTTAAAGTGTTTCAATTTGTAATAATAATTTTCATTTCTGAGAGACCATTCTAATGAAAAATAAGATAGAAAAGATTGCTTTATTCTCAAATCGACAATATACCAGAATACGATAATACCAGATGTATTAATTTATTATTAATTATTAGATAAATTAAGATATCAATGACAGTGAATAAGAAACGACGCCTCAGTGAAAGTCATGGTAGGCTTTGTAAAAAAGATGCTCTTGACGTAATAGTATAAACGTCAAAGAGTTATTAAATCAACATTTTGATAGTCTTTGCAGTTTTTTTTTCTTTTGAAGAAAGGCATTTTTAGAAAAGCAATCAAAAGATTAAAAACACTGCTGAGACTATCAAATTGTTGATATAATAATATTTTGAGTTTAAACTATCTCTTTAAAAGCAACTTTTTTCCAAAGCCTACCATGAATTCACTGAGGCGTCGCGTCGTTTCTTAGTCACTTTCATTGATATCTTAATTATTAGATATCAATACACCTAGTATTATGGTATTCTGGTACATTGTAGATTTTTTGAATGAAATAATCTTTTCTATCTTATTTTTTATTAGAATGGTCATAATAATTAGGGTTAGGGATACCGTGTTTGAAAGATAAGATAATTAAGGGCCTATTTTTCGTATTTATTATAATGTTGCTAATAACTTTGGTTTGAAAAAAGATATCAAGATGCGGTTTTCGCTGAATTTTTAAACCTTTCTTACTCTTTAGTACCAGCTAAAATTACATATACTATCGCATTTAACTTTTTCGAAAAAACGCGTAATGTTTGTTAAATTGTAAGACAGCGCCTCCTAGCGTCTACGGTCAAAAGCTTATTTTTATTGTTTATATGGTTTAATATAGAGTAAGAAACGCTCTTTTAAACGAGCCCTCACTTGTTGAATTCCGATCAACCGTTCCGGAGTTATTAACATTTAAATAAAAACAGATCTAACCTTCCCCCACTACTTTATTTTAGCAGATAGGGGAAAATGGTTCTTATAAAAAATATGCAAAAATTACTGAGGATTATGAATCTATTATTTATAGTATCCGTTATCTAGGCAAAATTGTGTAAAAACTCCTTTTTCTTATTTTTTTAGCGGCCGCTCTACAAACTTGAAAATAATTTCCAGCAATTTCTCATAGCCCCTTTACCTAGTTATAAATATTTTTTCCGTAAGTCCTACGGCTAATACTTTCCGAGATACAGCCGAGAGCTATTCTTAGTGGGACACTCTGTACAAGCGTGTGCAGTGGCTTGTGGATGATCTTTGATAGCTGGTCTATCCATCGGGAGGGCGAGCGGCCTCTTGGTCTTCTTCCCGGAACCTTGCCATGTATAATGAGTTTTTCCATACAGTCAGTATCCCTCCTCATAACGTGACCGAAATATTTAAGTATACGTGACTGTATAGCAGTTGAGAGGCGTTCTGTGATGTTCAAAAATTCCTTCCAAAAAGGAGTTTTTCCAAACGGCCTTAAGACAGCAATAATTATTCCTCTGCATAAACTATCGCCCAATTGCTCTTCTGTCCACATTATCTAAGATCATTGAAAGATTGGTTAAAAAAAGGCTTCTATCTTTTCTCCTTAAATATAAAGTACTTTCTACCCATCAATTTGGATTTCCAAGTAACAGTTGCACAAATGATGCTATGTTCGACCTTTTTAATAATGTATACTCTAGCCTGAATAACCATCAATCTACAGCTACAATTTTCTGTGATTTCCCTAAGGCTTTCGACTGTGTAAATCATAATAGCTTAATTAGCCCCAATACGAATACCTTAATTAGCAAATTGCAATACTATGGATTCAGGGGAGTGCCGCTCGAATGGCTTAAGTCGTATCTAGGCAACACAAGGCAGCTTGTGAGGATTGATACGTCTATGTCTTCTTGTAAGCCTATAGAATGCGGTGTCCCTAAGGGTTCAGTACTTGGCCCTATTTTATTTCTGGTGTTTATCAACGACATTGCAAGTCTAGACATTAGCGGTAAAATCTGCCTCTTTGCGGACGACACTAGTTTCACTTGGAGCGGCCGAGATGTTACGGCACTATATGGTACAGTATCCAGTGACTTACGCACCATTAAATCTTGGTGCGATTCTAATCTCCTATGCCCCAACCTTTCAAAAACTAAATTTTTGTCATATAAAAGTACTATACAACCTTTTGTACTTAATAACACCACTATTGACGTCGTGGACTCTGTGAGATTCTTAGGACTTGTTGTAGACAACTCGTTAAAATGGGACTTGCACATCATTCCGGAGAGGCCTTCTCACAACTATCCACTTAGGAATGCGGAGCACGATATTTATCTGCCAACCCCGAGCTCAGAACTAGTTAAGGGCTCAATACTGTACAATGCCAAGAAAATTTACAATCATTTGCCTTCGAATATCAAGTCACTTTCATTCTTTCCCGCATTTCGCAAAGCCCTGAAATCATACTTACTGGAGAGAGCCCTATATGCGGTAAACGACTTTTTTGTTGATGTTTAATCATGAACAATTTTGAATTTTACAATTTTGATCATCTCAGACACTGGTTAAAGGTCTAGTATTTTATAACTCTTGATTTTATAATATATAACATTAGTTTATCCATTTACAGTTTTCCTTTTGTAAAATTTTCTAGATACGCCTGTGTTCTGCAATGTCCATATATGTTTTATTTGTAATTTTATGACGTATTTTTTTTTTTGAATTGATTTGTATTGTATTACATTTTTATTTGTTTATTTGTATATTTGTTTTTGTGCTTTTTTGTTTTGCTTTGTCGATGAAGCTGTTTTGGCTTTTTGTACAATAAAGCGTTTATTTGTTTTGTTTTGTTCGGTTCTTGGATTATGGATTCATTGGTTCGCCGGGCAGTCCAGGAATTCTGAGCATTCGTCGCCAACAGTCCATCTCAGTTGCGTCAATCTTTTGGCCATCTATTTTTAATAAGTAACATTAAAAAAATTTAACTCTCATTTTCTAAATAATTATCTTCTAGGACTTGATCCAGTTAACATCTGAACCCCTCAACTGCGGGATTTATTACTTCTTTCTTATAGTTATGAAAATGAAAACTAAAAATGACAATTTTAATTGTATTGGGAATTGTCATTGTCAAGTATTTTTACTATTCCAATCACAAGGGATTCGTATTATTTGATGAACGGAGACATAAAATTGCAATACATTTAAATACTATAGAATTTGCTAATCAATCCTTTAAGTCTTTTAAATTTCCTTTAAATTCAACCAGAATTCTGCCAATAAAATTAATATTTTATCGTCGTGCATAAGAATTCACCTTTAATCGTATTTCAGTTAATGTTGTATACTCACATTGAAACAAATAACATAAACGACATAAAATTTTAATTAACGAAATTTTCGGTTGCTTTAACCTTTATGGTCTGCCGGCAATGAAGTTAGCTCTGCTAAATAAGTTGTCTAGATTAAAGTCAAACGAACCTTGTTTGACTATTTCCACCTTCTCTGTTGTAAGTCTGGTCTTAAATAGAACTTAAGTGACTAAATTCATGTAAAATGTCAAAAGTGCCATTATTATAATTGCTAAGATAAATTTGTTAGCATGTTTTACTCTAACCGATTTGTTTAGCACGGAATTTCATGAAGGTTACTGTATAAAAGTTGATTTTTTCAGTAGGCATTTACATATTTTAAACCGCATTTCTCTTTTTTAACGTGACTCACAAAATAAGATTAACATGAAATGAGTAAAATTTTACAATCAGATCACATACGAAATTGCTAGAAATTTCCATAAGAACCTATTCATTCTTCAAAATTAAGTTAAATAGAGAAAATAAAGACCATATTAATATTAACATTTGACAATAATTTTGAAAAGTTTGGGTACCTAGGTCGACTCAGCCTTAAATGAGTACTTGGGATTCACAATCCTGAGGTAATAATGAGCGTAGTGCTCAGCTAAGCCACATTATCTTCCTTGTATACCGAACGGCTCTAGTATGGCAAGCTGTACCTTGCTACTCCCAAGGCGTTAAAAGCTATATACGTGAGCTATTATTTTTATAATTAGTAATTAGACAATTTCATTATATTTTATACTATTTCAAAAACAAAAACATAGTGGTACAGTGTAGTTTTGATATGCAAGTTCAAAACAAAAAGTGCTGTTATATTTTTCAGGTTTCGTTGTCAGCCGCGGAAGTTTCAGTGATTTTAGTGTTGCAGCAGGATATTTTTATTTGTGAAAAAGAAATAACATTGTTTTTGGTTTGCAAAACTAAAAGTGGCAGTTTTATTGCAATGTAAGTAAGCATTTGTCCATTTTATATTTTACTTTTTTCATACATACGACAAGTATACACATATTGAAATTTTATAATTCGTTTTATTTAAAAATGTTGTAAAACAAACCTGTAAAGCGGCCCATGCATTATCAAACAAATTGTGCAACAAAGCGATGCGCAACGTTCCGTTGCACAACTGCATCACCCATGTACTTAGTAAAATTTTGATCAAACTTTTTATTAAAAGTTGTGCATTGTTTCAGAAACAATCGTGTCCTCAATTGCCATTGCGTCAATTATTATCGTATGTACCCTAGATGATGTCAATGATACGAAAAATAAAACAAAGAATTTGAATAAAAGAACTAAAAGAACTAAAATATTGCACAACGAAGCGCAACGCACACATACACTACACAACGCGCTGCGCAAACGCCTGTTGCAAAAAAAAATTCAAACATTCTTGAAACTTATCAAACAATTGCGCAACGCATCAAACGTTATCATACATTGGCAACTCGTTGCGCAACAGCCTGTGTTGCGCAATTTGTTTGATAATGTATGGGCTGCTTAATTGACATAAGTAATTGTTATGTAATACATCATGCCATATAAATGTAATATATTACTTTACAATTAAAAAAATGTAAATTTAAAAAATATATTAAAAGTATATACAGGCATTGATTGAAATTTTTAGTATGCGAACAAACACGAGAGGCGCTATATTTACTTTCATTTTCTTAACATGATAGATGAAGTTCGAAAGGGGGATGTTTTGTGATTGTTATAGATAATTAACGTCATATTTTTTGCTGTATTTTGATTAAAATGTTAAAAGGGTTATGTTAACAAAATTTATTTAGTCCAATGCTACGGAAAGTGTGATAAGAGTAAAAACAATATAAATTCAACTATATTTTGAAAGTATAAAGGTATGGAAATTTTGAAAAATATAAACGGAATTATCTAATTTTTCTCAAATATTAATAATAAAAATATACATACTGCATGTCTTGAAATGTATTAAAATATAACGTCCCAAATAATGGCACGATGGTTTACTGTTATTGTCAATAAAAATGTTTTTAAAAAAATTCCATAGTCTGCATATACAGGGTGAGTCTCAAATAAGTGCAAATATTAACAGCCCTGGTATATCACGATAAAAGAACATAATTTCTCGTTACCGGTTTTTTGAAATACGTCCAAAATAACAGAGTTATTTTACTTAAAAAATATTTTTGACCTAAATTTTGAGATTCACTGGATTTTATTCTGTTCTTTTTTCTGTTTTATTTTTCTTCTTGTAAATTTAATCTACTATTTGATGTTGCCATATTATAATAAAATTTAAAAAAAAAATGTTTTCCAAAAATTTTAAATTCTTAAATAAAACCTGATAGACGCGTTTTTGGGATCGAAATATACCACCCCTAAAAATATTTACACTTATTTCAGACTCACCCTGTATATTTGATCGGGTATTTCAGGAAAATATTTTAACATCTCAAAGGGTAACTCAAGAAAGTGTGGGTGGATCGGGACGATTTTTTTTAAATGGAACATCCTGTATATTATTTCTTCCTAAGCTAATATTTTTTGTGTTTAGGGTATTCCAAAATTTTTAACGGTTTCGCAGATACTCGCGGGATTATTTCATATTACTTTTTCAAAGATAAAATACGAGAGAAAAATCATCGGCTTTCATAAAAATTTACTATAGAAAATGCCATATGAAATATAAAACCGCGAATATCTGCGAAACCGTTAAAAATTACTCTAAATAAAAAAAATGTCAATTTTTTAATTCTCCATCTATAAAAAAAAATATACAGGGTGTTCCATTTAAAAAAAAAAAACGAGAAAAATTATTTTATATTTTAGAAAGTCATATTAATATTATTTAATAAGAAGATTAAATAATTAAAGTTACGCATTTTGAAAAAGACCAAGTTAAGGGTCGAGACTAAATCTTGGGATTAAATCTCTAAAACACTTATTTACACCTGACCTCTAACCAAGAATAAAATTTACTTAAAATATATTTCATAACATCAAAGAATAATATTGAAACTAAAATATAAAAATAAGTTACAACCTTCTTAACCCTTAACTGGTCCGGCGTCGTCTGACAGACTACGCCAAATAATTAACCGCCCACACGATTGGCGTTCTAGCTAATCCTGCCCCTCTAGGTCAACAACTGATAGCCATATTTGTGCCCAAACTGGATTCGTTTTTTAGAAGTTCTGGAAGAAGTTACTGAAGCCGTAGTCTCACAGACGACGCCGGACCGTTTGTGTAAAATTTTATGAGTGACAAATTTTTATAAAATATGACCGGGTCTTCGAAAAGAGTGCCTTTAGGAGACTCTATTAAAATGATATGATGAGGACTGTGACAGTGACAATATGACAATCTGCCAGACAAATGCGTTTGACTATGTCAAATATTCCACGAGAACTATGCTTTACAATTTGCAGAATACTTGCAATTCCTGTACAACCAGAAGACGCCCACGGAGATATATTTTTATCCTAGAGTTCTTATACTAGTCAAAGACAATGTTATGTCCTAGTTAATTATTTTTTATGCCTAGAATGTACCAATCCATTGTGTAAAACATGTTCAGGAAATCAATAAAATTTGCCTCACGCTGTAACTAAAAACTTCTCCTTTAACACCAGTTTTATAACTTATTTTTTTACATAATAGTATTAAAAACTTTTTATATTGTAATGACTGTCAGTAATTTGGTTTTATTTTTAGAGCTTTAGAATTTTTTTAGAATTTAGAATGAGTGGGAGGGGGGTTAATCACTTCGACCTTACAGATCCATTGTGTCCCCCTTTCTTGAATCATAACTCATCATACAGTCCCAGGGCTTTGACAAAAGCCAGTATCTGGGACGGTTTTATAGAGGGTAGTTCTCCATCTCCAATATCAGTCGTACCAAAGTTCATGGCACGAATGGTTGTCGTCTCGGCGCACTCAGTGATGAGGTGTACTGGTGTTTCACCATCTTCCCCACAGAATCTGCATTCGCCGTTTTTCTTAGTTTCAATCTACTGAGGTGTTCATTGAGGAGACAGTGTCCTGTTAAAACCCCGTGACAATCCGAAGATTGTTCTTACTCAGACCTAGGAAGATCTGTGATTTTTATTGATCATAAGCCCTCAGAAACTTCTTCGAGTGTCCTAGACCATTGCAAGATTTCCATTCCAGGTTGCGGATGGAATCTTCCAAGTTCTTGAGTTCCTCCTTGAGTTGGTTACCACTTGGAAAGCAGAACGGTTCTGGTCCAGTTAGTGGAGTGTTCGCTCCTTTTCTACCTAGATTATTTGCTTTTTCATTGCCTTTTATCCCTTGGTGAGCAGGCACCCAGTGTAGGAGGACTTTGTTTTCTTTGCCTAATTTATTCAGCTTCTCTATGTATTCTTTGACCAATTTCGAATTGATTGAGACTGAGTTGATCGCCTTTAACGCTGCTTGACTATCAGATAAGATGGCTATTTCTTGTTTCCGATAGTTCCTATCTAAGATAAGTTGTACGCATCTCTCGATAGCGTAGATTTCTGCCTGTAGGATACTAGGGTAAGTGCCCATTGGTTCGGAGTAATTAGCTCTCGGCCCAAACACTCCGATCCCTGTTCCCGTATTGGTTTTGGAAGCATCAGTATACCAAGTTATGGTATGGTCTTTTAACTGCTGGGCAAGCGTTTCGCTCTTCCAATCCTTCTTATTGCTCAATACTACATTGACATGTTTGTCAAAGTTGTACGTTCTTGGCATATCGTCCACTGGGAGTTGCAGGAGTGGTATTTCCTTTTTGAGGGTGTTCCAAGCCCCTGATCTATTTTTAGAGCTTAGTAAAAACCTATATTGTTTTTTTTCCAAATTTATATGTATGCTATTTTATTTTGTACTATATTTTCTGAAAGTTTATATTAATTGAACCCATTTTTGTCTAGATTAGTTTAATAATACATAATATAATATACAGTGACATAAAAATTTGTTGTTTTTTAGTTTTTGTGTGTTTTTTAACTTTTTAGAAGGCGTAGTCCCACAGACTACGCCGGACCGTTTATGATACATATCTATTACCGGACCAGTTAAGGGTTAAGGCAAACTGGCATTAAGCGCTATTCTACGACTCGACTTTGCCCAGCCGTCTTTGACGCCGTTTTTTTTTTCGTATTATATTATTAGAATACCCTGCATATATCTCTGAAAATCTGTTTATAATATTCTAGTACTGTTGCCTACATCTATTACACAATAAATTGGAATGAAACTCTCAAATAGAAAACCTGATATAAATCTTTTGATAAAACTGTATATGGCTGCAGAGAAAAGTTCACATAAAATTTTATATTAATAGGACTTTCCAACATCGCAATTATACGAAGAGCCATTCTTCAATAGTTTACTACCTTACTGCCGTTTAAAAAGGTCACTACTTACCAAATAATTGAAATTACATGTTAAACGTGCACCACCGTTCGCCTGAAACAAACCAAATAGGACGTTAGTTACGAGGAAAACACAAATGAATCATAAGAAAAACTGTATTTTATTAGTTTGCCAAACATGGAGTTAGGCATTAGTAATTCAAATGTGAAAATATTCTACGTCAGCTTGAGCACGAAAAAAATATGAATCGTTAAGTAAATTAATATTTTATTAATATTCAGAACTCGCAGCTCTAATGATAACTGTTGTTAGATTAATACGTTTAAAAGTTGTTACTTTAATTGTTATATCTTTTTTATAATTTTTTTATTTTCTGTTCAACTTCTACAGTTAAAATTATAGTTTCGCAAAAGCTTTGCCCTCTGATCATAATTTGTTACACTTACACAAATAAAAACTAAATGGTTATTTCAACCACTTAGTGAATGGTAAGACTATAATTATTAAAAAAGATTAAAATAAACTTAAATGTATGATCAAATCAACAATCAAAAAAGTGTAAAATAATATATTTAATTCAAACGCCAGTTATTAAATCCAAATAAAATAAATATCCATCCATACATATATGAAAGCTCAAAGAGTTTTTTTGTTACGTCCATCCCGCCGGAACGGCTTCACTAATTTTGATGATCCTTTTTTTAAATTAAAGGTATATACGTCTAGATTTGTTATGAAGTATTTTTATATTGTTTAATGGCTATTTCTTTGTGTAAAACGACTAAATACTAAAATATACCTGAAAAACACCTACACACAATACCTCAAGAAATAAATGATTTGTCATTGTCAGTGGTGTGTCAGATTATATATCAAGTTTTTAGATATTTTAGGGGATCAGTTCATAGCGCCAGCTTTAGATACATAAATATTAGTACAAAGGGTCGTTTAAACGACATTAGTGAATTAGCTACACAAAGCGATTTTAGGAAATTCATCTTCTTAAAGAGTAAAATTATGTCGGAACAATTTGTTGTATGAAAATTCCTTACTATATGATCTAAAAGAATGAAATCCTACAAAAATAATTAGAAGAGATTTTTGAAATTCATCAACCAAATGGGAAAGTTAGTAAAAATTTATATAAAACTTGGTGACCTCTGGATTTCGGACATAAAAATTGGCACAAAGGATCATTTAAAAGACATGAGTTAATTATTTGTATAAAGCAAATTTATGAAATTTTATACAAGAGTTTATTTAGTGACATTATATAATGAAATATTTCTTCTTCAATTCATTCTTCAAGGAATAAAAAATAACGTGTAAAGAGATTATCAGTGCCCTTCATCTCTTTTTTTATTTAAAAAAGAGATGAAAAATAAAAAATATCAAGGAAGTATATCAAGAAAAGTGACAATTGAAAACTTCAATATGTCAAAACTATTTATTTTAGTAATACAGTATTAGTACCATAGGTCAGGGTGGTGACAGTAAACCGGAAAATTGGAAACAGTTGTGGCGCGGTTCTACCCAGGCAGAAAGCATGGCCTTCTAGACTGTCCTAGACAAAAATCTGAATATTTCTATATGATTTCTGTCAATCTCTGCTACGGAACATTTTTATGCACGTCGGCGTCCTGTTCTTTTGTCTTTTGTCTGTGTGTCAGCGTCAGCTCCCGAGGCCTCTGGCAAGGCCGGGCGCCATTTTAATTTTTGCCGTTTAGATTTGATTGGAAGTTTGATTCTGATATTTCGGCTGAAATTTATAAGTACAAAGATGTTTTTTCATATAAAGTTCCTTGTTAACACTTTAATAAAGTATATATGATATTAATTACATGAAGAAAATGATGAAATCGACGTTTCTGCGTGTAGTAGGTATGGGCCATATTATATGTAAAAATACCTAATATATTAACGGTTTTTATATTTTTTTAGCTTTAAACCTAAGGATCTTGGGATATTCTTTGCCAAGGATTTTACCGTATCTCTACTTTAAAGACTGATCGGTGATTTTGAGCAATTGAAAGCAAGTTATACAAGGTAAATTATGATTATTGAACTATTATTAGCCTACATTAATTTTCTACAAGATGAACAGAAATGCGTAATTACATATCACATAGGTACATAGAGGTCATAGCAATAATGCCATAAATCTATGTATGTAGATTATTTTTAAAATACAAATGAGGTATTAGATGTATATGTATCATATATTTTATTCATTTTATTTTCATTCAAGTCCTGTTTGATTTAATTCACAAAAGTCTTATGTACTTATATTTATGTTTTTTACATATTTTTTTTGATTCCAGGTTTGGTGTGGGTTCCGGTTGCCTTTTTCCTGCTTCCAGTTATTTAGTTTTATGCCCGTGAAGCTCTGAAAACATTTATTTATCTTCAAGTTTCTGTAAGTCAATGCACTGTTACTTTACTAATTCACTTTAACACAGCATCTCTGATATTATTTAAATATTTGATATTGATACAGTAGTTTATATTGGTTTATAGCTCTTTAATTGTGTTGATTTGCATATTTACATTGTTCTAAATTCCAAATAAATATTTTTGAGTACTTTTGTTGTATTATTTACTACTAGAAAGAGTAAAAAGTATATTAACCCTCATTTAAACCTCCTGAACAGCCCGCCATTAAAAACCGGAAACGGGAATAAATTTCGTAAAATTGAAATTGTCTTGTCTATGTCATGTCAAATGTCCCAGCCGCCATATCTGAAAATTAGTTACCCAGGCAGCCACGCTGTTTCCATAATTTAACATTGACTTGACACTTCTTCTTGTATTTATTATTTTATGCCATAGGTAGGGTTCTATCTATAGAGGGTAAATAGTCATTTCACTATTTATTATTTTGGAGAGATTTTCTTTTTACAGATTTTGCAAAATTTCGACATTGGTTTGATTTCTAAAACACCCTATATGTATATAATTAAGAAATAAAAAACCGCCATGAAAGGGCGCCATCCACCCTCTATCCAACCATACATAATTAGTTTCAGTCAATGGAAGTAGTTTGGTAAATTTCAAGAAAGTGTTAAAAAGCAAGATTTCAAAATCATTTATAGAAATACTTTGATTTCGATAACTTCTAGAATTATTAAGATTATTTATTGCAGATTGGTCTAATCAAAAGTTTTATTTTTGGTATACAATGTGTGTCATAAAGCCATATACAGGCGATGATAAAATAAAAATGGGTTTTTAAAATTTCGGATTTATTTAAATACATAATAATATTTAAAGAGAATAAAAATACTCTTGGAATTGGCATATTGACGGATTTTTATAAATTTTAAGTAAAAAATGTGTAATAAGTCAAAAATAACAAAATCGATTTTTTGAAAGAATATACAGGGCGAGTCTTAAATAAGTGCAATTATTTTTTGGGATCGTATATTTTGACCCCAGAAACACGATTATGAGTTCTTTCGCGATTTTTTTTTTGTTTGGTTTGAAAAAAATTTTGGTTTAAAATTTGGAATTTTTGGAAAAACCTGGATTTTTTTAGTTTTTAGTTAAAAACCATAATTTCTTGATAATATGGCAACATAGGTAGTAGATTAAATTTACCAGACAGAAAAAACCGAAAAGCTCCAGTGGTTCTCAAAATTTAAGCAAAAAATATTTTTTTTAGAAATTTTAAAGTAAAATAGCTCGGTTATTTTGGAGTTATTTGAAAAACGGTAAAGAGAAAATATGTTTTTTTTAATCGAGATCTACCAGCCATGAAAATATTTACCACTTATTGAAGAGTCACCCTGTATAATACCCAGAAAATCGACAATTGCTAAGGCCCGTATTTATAGTTGCGTCTCGATACGCCAAGACGGTCTTGGGCTCTTGAGAGCGGAATCCACAGAATACACGAGCAAACGTCATTTTGGAGATTGCGATTTTCATTTTGGAGATTGTAATTTTGGATAGTTTATGTGATCTGTGGATAGTTTCATAGTTTCTTAACCCAAATTTTTTTGTAAACAAAGTAAATCCCTTGTAAATCCGTTTTGTCTGATTAAACAGTTTTGAATATGTTAGAAGAGTTTGAGGATATTTTGGACCATGTGGAAGAAGAAAATCGTCTTCGAGTTCCAAAAAGATATATACGGGATGCAGGAAATCCAATAGAAATGTTTAGCGAGGGGGGATTTATGCCGATATAGAATTAACAAGTCTACAATTACAGAAACTATTTTACCTCTTATAAATTGAAGACTTGCAAAAACCTACCAATCGTTATTCACTGCTTTACTCACATACAATATTGGATGTATACACTGTATACCTATAATTTTCAAGTAAATTCTGTATTCTTATTGAGTTGACCATTCTATATAAAGTCGATACTCCATGTTTTATAGTTTTATTTCAAATAATATTTCACAATACACATTCTATGATTATTGCATTTTTACTGCTTCCTTATTTCTTGTCGTCTAGATGACATTTTTCTCTCTTCTTTTTTTGGTAGTCTGCTAGCCTATACATTTTTTTATACTTCCTTTGTTCCATTTCTATATGTTCTATGACCTCTTCTCTAAATTTTTCAGGTAATCGAGTAATTTTCATTCTCCACTGTCAATAACTTCACTTGTCCATCTTCAAATAAATCTTCAATCCTCGGAATATATCCATATAATAATTCGGGTGTTTTTTTCGCCAGTGAATTTATTCACAGATGTATTTATAGCTGTTTCTATATTCTTAATATATGTATCCCATTTGTTGTCATCATCTGCACAAGCCGAAGCCAGTATCATTGGAATAATAATGCTGTTCAACCATTTATGGTTGTATCACACAAATTCACTCAAATGTTCTGCTATTAAAATGGCCACCCTCTTGATAATCTGGCTTATTATAGGTTGGCTAACACCATGCAAGTCTCCACTTACTATCTGAAAATTAGAAGTCGCATAAAACCGTAAACAAATTAATAATTGAATAACGGGGGGAATAGGTAAACCACGATTGGTAGGTTTTTGCAAGTCTTCAATTACAAGAGGTAAAATAGCTTCTGTAATTGTAGCCTTGCTAAACCTATATGGTATTTAAATTCCCCCTCGCTA